GCCCTGCCCCATTCTGGAGGCTAAATGAGATAACCAAGCACTGAATACATAGTAGGCACACAATAATTGTTCCTTCTTGGCCAGGACTCCCCAGGTTATTACAGCTCCTGTACCTTTCACTCTTCTTATCTGCAAATCCAAAATACTCCTCCCTGCAGTTTTCAAGAGTCTATAGATGGAACATTAAGATTTTTTTGTCTCATTTGGACTTCATGATTTTCTCAGTACATTTCACCCTGCTAATGTTCCTTCCTTATTCATCACTCTGAGGCGTAGTACACCAAGGCTGAACAGTTGAAGATGGGAGGGGCAGAATCATGGGTTATTATTTCTTGCCACTATGACTTCATTCCAGAAGAAAAAGCATAATACAAAATAGACTAGGCCTGGGTCTTTCTCGCAGGTGCTGAGCACCTACTGACCTATTTCCCTCTACTGGGTTCTGGGTGCTTTGGCAGGATGGAGAGGAGGGCTGGGTAGAGGAGCCGATGGCCCTGGTGCTGCTCTTGGAAGAGGTTTTTGTGTCCATGATCTACAACTTCAAGAAGGTAGGCAGAGCCAGAGGGGTGAGTGCTGAGGCATGGGACAGAAGGCTGACCTTGGGGAGCAAGCATTAATGCAGTTTCTGCCTCTTCACACAGGGGAGTCTGGGCAGCATCGAGAAAGGGAAGGAAACACTTCGAAGCTTTGTAATGGACATCACAGCAAGGACAAGGGGAAAGGCTCTGTCACTGGTGATTGTTGAGCAGGAGAAATGCTTCAGGTTTGGATTTGTCCTTGACACTTAGCATCCAAAGGGGCAGCGCTTGGGTCAACAGGGGTGAATTTATTCATCCCAGATCTGGGTCCCTCTGCCAGATAGTGTCCCTGCCAAGCCCTCTGGGATGCTCTGGTCCAGTCTACTTGCCCCTCTTCTGCCTTAGCTTAGCCTGGAGCTGCTGCCCTTTGATTTCCTCCCCTGCTCCAGTGCTCGAAATCCTCCAAGGAGAAGGAAACAGGGAGTGGCAAACAGAGACCAGGCCAAGGAGAAGCAGCAGCAGAGACCACCAGAGGCCAACACAGGGCCCGTTGTGTCCAGGGTAGACATAGAGGAGGTAAGAATGTTCTGTTGCCTGAATCAACTTGGGCACCCACTCTCACTTAACCCGATTTGCTATTAAGAAAGAGTAAAATGCCTGCTGGCCAGTACTAGGTGTCTTGGTGGTGAGTAGGAGATAAGGGGCCAAACAGGAGTTAAGGGGCTGGGGTACAGACTCAATAAACAGGAACGGGAGAACAACTTCAGACTAGTCTCTCCACCCTTCCCGTCCACCTTCCTTTGGGTTTTAGGCATTGGTGGATCTGCAGCTACACACACACGCCCAGGCTCGAATTGTGCAGAGCTGGAAAGAGCTGGCTGACTTCACATGCACGTTCACGAAGGCCGTGGCTGAGGCCCCTTTCAAGTGAGTGACCTGGCAAGTCGCGGCTCCACTGCTGGGTCTTGCCCTTTACAATGGTTCTGGTACCCAAAAATGTCCTGAACTCTGCTGTTGGTCCATCATCTCTCAAGCTTGAAGCCGGAGCAGACCTCACATGGGATTCTTGGGAAGACCTCAAGCCCAGTCCCTTTAAAATGTTCTCCTTTAGTTTGTGTTTGTGTTCTGCAGGTTGGTACTGGGTCACCAGATGGCCAAGGTACCAGGATTCATTAGTCAGGTCACAATGTGATAAGCCCTCAAAAAATAAAAATTTTAGCCTACTTAGCTCAAGGAGTGTTCATAGTCAGAATTTAAAATTAACGAGACCTCAGAGACAGTCCAGCCTAAGTCCCTCATTTTATACCTAAGGGAACCGAGGCCTGAAGAGACTGACTTACCCGAGCTCTTAGTAAGTTAGAACCAGAACTAGACTCCGCATTGCCTGATACCCAGTCCCTGATGTCTGACCCTATTCATGACTCTGGTCAGTACAACCCAATGCCAACAGAAACAAGATTCTGGTACTTTTCTGGTAACTTCTCTTTTAATGAAAAGGACTAAGTGTCATATTTAAGGGAATCAGTAACTAGCACTGCTTGACATCAAAGTGAGCATTCAAATAAGCCAGACTGTAACATTGTGCCCACCTCTTCTGAGGTCACTGGAGGGTTTTTAAGTTCCAGTTAAGGGGCAGGTACAGGACAGGTGACTCACAGCTCTTCATCTGTGCTGTTTGCAGGAAACTCCGAGATCAAACTAGTTTCTCTTTCTGCCTGGAGAGTGACTGGGCTGGAGGGGCAAAGGTGGATCGTGTTGGCAGGGGACTTGCTCAGGTCTGGAGGAGACAGATTCAGCAGCTGAACCGGGTCAGCCTGGAAATGGCCAGTGCTATTGTGGCCACTTATCCCTCCCCGCAGCTCCTAGTCCAGGTATGCTGCTCTAGAGGCCACTGCCCAGCGCCTTTAGTGGGACTCCCAGATGGTTTTCATGGGCAGCACTGGTGAGAGCCCAAGAATGCCTCATAGGTCAACCGTGCAGGTCTGCTAAGATCCAAGTTAATGCTTACCCAGGGTGGGACAGGTTCTCACCCCCCAACCTAAGTTTACCACTTCCTTGTTCATGGACAAGGGATGACTGGATGGTATGATATTAAGAGAACATATACTACTTTTAGGCTTATAGGCGGTGTCTTTCGGAGCAAGAACGCCAGAATCTGCTTGCAGACATACAGGTGCGCCGTGGGGAAGGAGTGACATCTACCTCCCGCCGTGTTGGACCAGAGCTGTCCAGGCGTATCTACCTTCAGATGACTACTCTGCAGCCAGATCTCTCTTTAGACGCAACAGACTGATGCTGGCCCTCAGGGACAGAATGAAAAACTGGAGATTCCTACCTCACTCACCTCAGAGCATGACTACAGTGAAGAGAGTAAAGTGCTCCCTGAAGCACAAGCCTGGGTTGGGCCCACAACAGGCTTTCCTGGGTGTAATTATTTGTGAGTCTCCCTGTCAACTGACTGAGATACTGGCATTTATCTTCACCAGCATTGTGTTCCTCTCCTGGCAAAAATCAACTGCCATGCACGAGCTACCCCCACCCCTGCCCCAGCCAGCCCTCAAATCACCAAAGCAGCACACACAGACCACTCAGACATGTATTTAATCATTGAAATCCAAAAGAACCTCAGCATCAAATCTAGGGATCATGAGTGAACTGCCCTCAGCGGGTTGGCTTTACTAGGCTGGGTGTGCTCCAGCCTTCCTCTCACCCACTGAGGCTGCCTCAACCAGCTAGGGAATGGGGTTTGATCACTAGGCCAACTTCTGTATTCTCTTATCTTACGTACTACAGGTTTAGTTTCAATAAAGCATTTGTACCAATGGCTCTGGAGCTTGGAGGAAGACAAAAAGAATGTGTAGTGATTAAGGTGTGGGCCTGTGCAGCAGATATATCTTTGGGGGGAGTCATTTTTTCCAGTATTCAGGACAGTCATGAGTGGCAGTCCTATCTCATTGGGCTACTCTGGCTAAAAAGCTGGACTCCATCCTTTTTTTTCTCTGAACCATGACAGGTTCTTTTTCTCCTAGGGGAGAGGCAAGGAGCTTGCAATTGGGAGATTTCAGAGAATAAGCACCATGACATGGCCATTTCTGATCCTTTCATCCAGCTGTTGTGAAAAGATGAGGCAAAGGAGCCCACTGAGCAAGTCAGCGTTTACTCTGGCAGACGGAAAGGCAGTTATGCCCTTATTTGCACTAGTCACTAGTTCCTGCACCATTTTAAATGTCATGATACTACTTGTTACCCTTCACTGCACAGGTGTAGTTCTAGGTTTAGAATCAAACAATTCTAAACCTGTCTATGACGCTCAAGTTTTCAGGTTGCCTTTGAGGTATTTAGTCATCTCAACTACTAACAGAGCTGTCACAGACTGGCTTTGCAAGGGTCTGCCTTGTTTATTGATAGTTGGGGAGTTAATGCTCTAAAATTAAGGATAAGAGCCTGGACCATTCCTGTTTTATGGAAACCACATAATTTGGGGTGGGACCCCACAGGAGCTGACCAAGACCCTCATGGCTGAGATTTCTATTTGTGGGTCATGAATCTGTCTACATGAAAGATTCTATACTCTGGCTGAGGGGTACTCAATTCTCATGTGAGCTGTTCTCTCAAGACATTATAAGGAAGGCAAAATGATGGGAAGAAAAGGATGCTGGAGTGGGAGTCCAGCTCTACCTCAAACTAGCTGGGAGACCGTAAGCATGTCATGGGAGGCCTCAATGTCCACATCTGCAAGTGTTCTATTGGACTGGATTGTCTCGAAGTCCCTTTCTGAGCCTGAGATTTTGTATGTTCATTAAAATGTCTGAATGTCTAAGGTCCTTAAGAAAATAGGTATGCCCCTCCCCCCCAATTTAGGCTGGATTTGCTGAGTATGGTGTTCCCCTTGTCCCCAATAACACACTGCCTCCTGATCTGCCCCGGCTACCCAGGGGGGAATGAAAGGGTTTGTGACATACAAAAGTATAAATGTAGTGACAGCTGACCATTTAGTAGAAATGAGCCTTCCCTTTACACAGCTTTGTATAACAACTAGAAAAGGCTATGTATTTTCCTCTCCCCACCCCCAAGCCTATTCCTTTAGGCATGCAGGTTTTTTCCTTTCCCCACCTCCTACTTCTTATTCCACCAGGGAACCCTGACTAAGGAACAAAGAAGTCCTACAAAGAGGAGGTCTCAAGTACCAATCAGCAGCCATTTGATGATGGCAGGTAGGCCTGACGCTAAAAAGAGGTTGTGTCCAGCAGAACCCAATTCCATAGGAATCCAAGCTCCAAGGCTGGGAGGCAGCAGGTGTTGAGGACAAGCTCACTGCTGAGAATCGGTCTGCAGGACCCACTGGAGGATGTCGTGGCTGCGCAGACCCTGGACTGCATTGTCGTAGATGGTGTTCACGCTGGTGCAGAGTGGCTGCTGCTGCAGCTCTGTCACCCGGCAAACCACCAGCCCGCTAGCCACACACAGCAGCAGCAGCAGCAGCAGCTTCAGCACAGCCCAAAACCGGGTATGTTTTCGGGGTGGCGGCTTACGGGGCCGAGAGCCGGACTTAGATTCTGGAGGGAAAAGTCAGAGTAGACAAAAAAGTTCAGTCAGTTTGAAGAGATCTACACTCTAGCAATCAATGCTAGTCTCTTCCATGCAGATCCACTTACACTCCTCTTCTCTAATGAAAAGTCCCCAGGCCCTGAAGGAAAAATGTTTTAAGAACATCTGAGCTCTTAAAAACTTTGCTATGCAAAGACTGAAATATATACACCTTCTCCCGAGATCTCAGAGGAGGACACTGAAAACTAAAACTCATTCTGGACGTCTCACACGGCACACACAGTCCCCAGGGTCTTAAGTTTTCCTCAGTAACATGGCGATGATCCAGGCCCCTTGGGATCAGGGAAAGGGCTTATTAGGAGGCATCAAGCTATGAGTTCTGCCCATTTGGGGAAACAGTTTTGAGATTTATTGTTGCTGTCATTATTATTATCTAAGATGCAAAAAGAAAAGCCTGGAAGGTAACATACCATATCATTAACAGTGATTACTGCTGGGAACGGAGAATTAGAAGTGACTGCCATTTTCTGATACATATAGAGAGAACATTTCTAAATTCTCTGCAATGAACGGATATATTACATTTATAATTAGAAAAAAATGGTTTTGAGATTTTGAGGCAAAATATTAAAAACTTGATGAGCACCCACATGCCAAGAACCACATGATCCTGTCACATAGATTTTCTCAGTCCTATCACTACCCTGTAAGGAGGTATGATCCTCATTTTATACAAGGAAACGAAAGGTAGTAAAAGGTTAGGCAACTTGATCAGGGCCAGCGAGGGCAAGCAAGGACAAGCAAGGACAGGGCCACAGGCCTCCACCTCACTCCAGACATCCTTCCCTCTCAGGTGCCTCTCCCTCAGAGGCCTCTTTTGCCCAGAGGGTATATAATCCTCCCCTGTACATGGAGCCACATCACCACACAAATTCAACTGGACACAGGCAAAACACTTAACACCTGCACACAGGCATGCGGCTCTGGGAAAACAAGCCAGGCCGGCACTGACTTTCTAGGAGAGCCCCACATTCCCTCCGAGGTATTCCCAGGCCTTTCACTGTATCTGAGCAACGTGCGAAGTTGCTCAGTTGCTCACTCATCCATGCTGAACACATACTTGAGTCTCCCCACTGCGCCCTGTTGAAACCTCACAACTGAGAGAAAACTTACTTGGGGCCTGATTTGTTTCCTTCTTGGGTTTCTTCTCCTGCTCCCGCTTAGACGCTTTCAGGGCATCATACTCCTTTCTGCGGCGCTCCTTCTCTTCCGCCTTCTCCCGCTTCCGCAGCTCCCGCTCCTGAGCCTCCTTCGCTCGCTGCTTGGCCTCTCGCTTCTTCTCAGCCTCTACAAGAAAAGAGACCCTAAAATGCCTTCCCTCCCCACACACCTTCCGGTGTGCTTTCCTGAGTAATTAAAAGCGTGAATTCAGCCCCTTTGTCCCTATGCCATGGATCACATAAGATACAGAAGAGGAAAAGAGCTTTCTGCCTTCCCTAAAATACAATGAGCTGCTCTCGGGGTTTGCTGAATGGATCCTTATTAAGGGGTTTCTAGACACAAGCAGCAGGGAGATTAGGGTGAGGTAACAAGAGGAGCACAAGAAAGGGATGGGTGATGAGTCTGGTGCTCCTCTAGAACTAGGTACTGATTCAGAAAGCACAGCAACTGACAGCCTCGTACAACTAAGCTCTGAGAAGAAACAATGGAGGTGTTGAGTCTATGGGATTCCTACCTTCCCAAGCTTCAGAAATGAATGTGACATGGGGAGAGCAAGTCAGAAGAGAAAGTGAGCACTCAGGTTCAGGGTTGGAGACGATGGAAATGTTTTCCTGAAAAAGCGAGACTAATAGTTTGTAATGTCTGGCCTTAATGCAGGAATCGTAACACACTGGGATTTACTTCACAGTTCAAGGAAGTTTACATGCAGTACCCAACCTACAAATTATTGGGTTCTAAAAATGCATTTCCAAATTAGTTATTTGGAAGTCTGAAGTATATTTTTCCAAAGCCAGAATGCCACAAATGGTGGTTAAGTGTCCTTTAGGGCTTAAAAGCCCATTTGAACCATCATGTAGCTGAATAGTAGTACTATAAGTACTGTAGCTTTCCACTGCTTCTCTATGAACAAACAAGCGCCAAGTTCCAGCTGGGCACTGAGGATGCCAAGAACAGACTACACTTGGCCTCAAGAGAACATGTGCCATCAAGAAGTAAAAGCAGCAATGATCAGAGTAAACACAGGCATCACGGTAGCTGTGCACGTATAAGGGACGATTGTAACTCAGGAGTTCTGATCTCAGGGACTGTTTGTAATCAGTATCACATAAATAAGTCCCCCCTCTAACGACAGGAGCCCTCCGGTAAAGGGCTCAGGAGTCAGCCAGCCAGGTGATAGGGTGCCTAGTGTGTGCCAGGCCTTGATTTAAGTGTTCAGGATATAGCAGTGAAGACAAGGCAGGTTCTAGTGCTCGAGTCATTTACTTTCTAAAGAAGGAGACAAACAATAAACAAGTGAACAAATAGTAAAATAGATAGTGATGTGTGCTATAAAGGAAAGAATAGAGGATGTGATGGAGAATGACAGGTGGGAAGGCTTCTAGTTTTGGTGGTTCTGGAAGAGTTAAGGTTACCCTGAGGCAACATCTGAGCAGAGACATAAGGGATTACACAAAGCCAGCCATGGAAAAATCTGAGGGAAAAGGAAACCAAGCAAAGCCCTGAATTTGAGACTGTACTTGTTGTGTCCAAACAAAAGCAAGGCTCGTGTGGCTGAAGTCAACTGCATTCTCCCCTCTTGTGTGGGACAAGGCCAGAGAAACAAGTATGCTTCGGCCATGGTGAGCCTTGTCGGCTATGTTACTAAGTTTGGATTTTATTCTACATTCAATTAGAAGCCATTAGAAGGTTGTCACCAAAGAGCAACATAATTGACTTGTGTTTTAAAAAGATCTGCCTGGCTGTTGTGTGAAAATTGACTTTGAGGAGAGGGCACAAGTATAGAGACAGGTAATATGACAGTCATGAAATGGAAGCTTCTTTATGGCAGCAGCACAGAAGTGGAGATAGTCACGTTCAGGATGTGCTGACAGACTGGATTTGGGCTTAACAGAAGGAAAGAATCATGGACAGCTTTCTAATTTCAAGCTTGAATGGCTACAGGGCTGGTGATTTCCTATTATGGAGAACACTGCAAAGGGCTGAAGGGGATCTGTTTTAGTCATGCTTAATTTGAGGTGCCTATTAACCCTCCAAACAGACAGAAAGATAAGCAGCTGAACATGACTTGGGAGCTCAGTGGAGAAGCCAGGCCTGGAGAGATTCATAAGACGAAGATGATACCATCTAATACCACACTGTTCCCCAGTGCTCTTCATGACCCCTCTACTGGATTCCAGCTCCTGAAGCATGAGAACCAGCTGCTGGGATAAGGACCAGAAGATGACTAGAGGGATGGCCACCCACCTCGTTCTACTTCCAGCCGCCGCTGCCTCTCTCGCTCCTGGTCCGCCTGCATGGCCTTCATGTGCTGTAACACCTGCAAAGGCAGAGGAGGGTGCTGAACTACTCCACGCAGCAGTCATCACAGCTCACATGTTTGCTCAGGGGAGTCTCAAGAGACTGTTGTCAGGATCCCAGGTCACCACGGGGCCCAGAAGCAGTGCAGAGCTAATGGAGTTAATCCTCTTTGTATGCTAACTTAGTGCTGAAGCTCAGTTACAGAAGTCATATGAACCCAGTTCACTGAAGCTGTCAAGAAAAAAAGTTTGTGAACACAACACCAACTGGAGTCTGTAAAAATCCTGCCATTTATAGTCACTCCACATGCACGACTGCATATAATTCTCCCAGCAGCTCTGTGATGAGCAGGAACAGCATTTATTCCAGGACGTTTTCCTGACCTCCCTCCTTTGGTTATCTCAGGTTCCTCTCACCCCAGTCCTAGGGCGTTTTCTTATCTAGCTCAGTTAGGAGACTGTGAGGTAAGGGTAGGGGCTATTGTCCTGTCTGTAGGCGAGCACAGAGCTTAGCCAATTATAGGTGCTCAATACATGTTTGATGAACAACTGACTGGATTCTATTTCAAAAGAAAGAAAACTGAGACTCTGATCGGGCGATTTGTCCATGTCACATGGCTAGAAAGCAGCACAGCTGGGAAGGAGGTCTTCTGAGTTCCCAGAGCTGGTTCTACTCCTCTTCATGCAGAGGCAGGAGAGCGCTAGGAGAAAAGGGAGGGGCCATCTGCTAAACACCACAAGACACACGGGCGCCCTGAGCCCCTCGACTTCTCATCAACTCAGTCACGGTTGGCCTCTAACTAAAACAGCCAGAGATTCTCACTATGGGCATGGTTAGGATAAGATGTAAGAGACTCTTTCAGTTTTGTTTGCACTTTTTAAAAGCTGGTATTCTTTGCATGTAGAGGACAGAATGTAAGCTCAGAGCCCAACAATTCTGACTCTACCACTTACTAACAGCATGAACTTAGAAAGTGACTTAACCTTTCTGAACCAATTTTCTCATCTGGAAAACTGAGGTAAGACTTCTCTGGCCTACTGCAAAGATTAAATTACATAACTTGTACCAGCTGCTTAACATAATCCTTGGCATTATATGTGCTCAATAAATACTGCTTTTTTTTGTTTGTTTGTTTGTTTTAACTTCATCTTTACTGCATTAACGAGAGGAAAACCTAAACTATTCTAAATTACAATAGCAAATTGTGTTTCGCTACCTCACTAGACACCCTGCAGGACAGAAATGTATTCAGATGGAATTATTTTACTTCATGGAAACTTCAAACATGCAGACACCCACCATGAGAAGCTCAACAGCAGGCCTGCAAAAGCAGCTCCAAGAGCCTGGTTTGAAGCCACAAGAAACCCTGTCCTGAGTAACCCAGGATTTGAACCTGCCAGCACTTCTTCAAATGGAGTTAAGCTTCCTAAAAAAATGGCTGCTCAACAAGAAACTGCAGAATCTGGAGGAGAGTCAAGCATGATGGAGACAGGCAGCCCAAGTTCAAAGTCCCTGTGTCACTCTGAATTTTAAACAAGCACCAACCATTCAGTTGGTTTCAGGGGGTATAGAGCTGGCTAAATAAAGAGCTGGGAGGTTTAAGAAACATCCCTTTTTGCCTTGGCTATAATCAGGAGTGAATTATCTGCAAACACAGCAAACTCAGACGTAGGAGACTCCTCTAGTCTAGACAGTGAGCCCCTGGAGGGTAGACTTTGTCTGCCTATCCCAGCCCACTGCATATAGTAAGCACTTGTTGAACACCACTGAACTCACAAATTATTTTTAAAAGGTGATTTACTATGCACCAAGCTGATCAGTTACTATGACTAACCCATACATGGTCAGAGCTGGTGAGACCTAAAATGAGGTTACTTGTCCTGGAGACAAGTAACCTCATTCTGACTGTCTCATGCCACTCCTCTACAATGTCCGAAGGTATGCTGCAGGAGACAGCTCTAGGGAAATGGTACCAGGGACCATAACTTTAGTTGCCACATCCACAATGCACTGTGCTACCTGGTCTGTCTAGAAGATATATATGAGTACTAAAGACCTTTGCATGCAATGAAAATTATTCTGACAGGACAATAACTATAGAATATCAGCAATTTCGTATGGTTCAACATATTAATTGTTGAATGAATAAATAGATAAATGAAAGGCCTGTGAACAATGAGGGTTTCTCGTGTCAGAGATATAAATACCTACTTCCCAGGGTTATGAGGATTATGAGATGAAACATGTAAAGCATGTAAGACAAAGGGAGAGGAGCGGTAGCTACTGTTGGTCACTCAGAATAGACATCGCTCCTAACACTACAGAATTTCACTGATCACTCGTACTGTTCCCAGCTAAGGGCAAAGTGTTGCCTTGACTTTGTTCTTGGATTCTTACAATGGGAGACACAGATGAGACTATATAGAAAGCCCTGAACTAATGATAATAAAGGCCATTACTTTTGAGATTCATGTAGAGACCCAATATACGCACACTTCACTTACATTAATTCTAACATCTAAAGTCCTTTTTGTCTACCATGGTCCCTAAACATAGCCAAGTAAGTCAGCTGTTACTCTGCTGAAGCAGCAGCTATCTGTTCTAAAGCTCGAGGAAAAAAAAAATGACTATCGTTAGAGTTTTTGAGAGATAGGTATAGTGCTGTTCTTAAGAACAATGTAAGGCACCTTCAAGGTTACTGGTTTGCCTTCCATGCAGACTTTATTTCCTCACTATATCACATGATTCAAATGAAATCAAATGCCAGATCTGCAAGGGATGTATCTGTTTAGCTATAAACTCACAAAATATTAGCACCTTTATTATCTAAATTCCTACAATAACTGTGACTCAGAAAGGCCACAGACCCTAACCCTTTTGTGCCATCCAAATGGTTGACAATGAAATGCTAGATCACGGAAGGTCCTGGTTTCTTGAGAATGGAAGTCCTGTAGTAGAGCAGAGATAGTATTATTCCACTAGTTGTAAAGTAAACATAGAAACAAAAGTCCCTTTGCTTGCCACGCTCATGGTAGACATATGTCACTGAGACCTTAGAGCTTTAATCAACACACAGCCATAGGTGCCCTGGGAGGAAAAACAAGAGGCAGAAGCAAGTCCCAGGGAGGCGTATAAAGGAGACCCCGGGGAGCTTCGTGCTTACCTTGTTGGCACACTGCTTACATTGCTTTTCATCCAAGCAATCCCCTGCCACTTTGGCCAGGACAGGATCCAAGGGGTTATCCTTCAGGTCCAGCCACTTCAGGCTCTAAAAAGAAGGGGCAGAGAGGCTGGCTAAACTCAAGTTCACACACACAGTCCTTCAAATTGGAACCAAATGAGCAGGAAGAGAGCCCCTCTATGTCCCAGCCACAGGTAAAGCATGAGGCAATGCCAATAAAGTAGTATTTCAATCAGCCTTTCTCAAAGCCATGCTCCATCAGTTCGTGAGCCCTCTGCCACATCTGGCCATGTACACTGGTTCATGAATTGTTACCTTGAGCTGGGCAAAGCTGACAGGCAGGGTGACCAGCCTGTTGTTGAGGAGATCCAGGTGCTGGAGGTTGACCAGACGGCCAAAGTCAGCCGGCAGTTGCTGCAATTTATTCTTACTCAGGTCCAGCTTCACCAGGTGTGTAAGGCCACAGAAATCCGACTAGGACCCAAAGAGAGAACACCTAAACGTGGGGCTCACACACTTTAATGGAACAATCCAGTAGCCCCAAGTCAGAGGCACCTGTGCATAAATCCTGACTCTACCTCTTATGAGCTATATCTCCTCAAATGATAACAGGCAAAACAAGCATCACTCCTGGTGGTAAATAGTTAAATGTGCATGCAAAAGGGCCAAGCACAAACTAGGCATAAATCAGTGTGGGTCTCTTCACTCTGTTCTTCCTCCAATCCATTATTCACATTGCTACGGGTGTGATTACGGACCCATTCTGTCCTCTCACACTACCCTATGTCCACCTTTCATAGGAGCTGTCAACATAGTGAGACCATCCATTTTCCTAAGATCAAGTGCCCCTTGAGTTCTCAGTGTTATTTTTTGTTCTTTGCAGCACCTAGCACGGTACTTAGCACAGGTGCTTCATGAGTGTTCTTTGAATGACTGACTCACTGCATGGGCTGGGGCCTACCCTACCCACATCCTGGCTCTTCTTCAGCACAGTCCAAAACAGCCTTCTTGTCATTCAGCCTTTGCTCAGCACCCATTTAAAGTGAAGCTCCAACCTGAGCTAACGAGGCACTATTCGTGTTCTCTGGAGACTTGTAAACGCCAGTGGATCTGCACTGCAGATGAGGCCATACAACTGAACAGACTGAAAAGTACACGGCGAGGGTCGGGGGGAGTACTGAATAATTATCTGACAATGTGTGCAGCAGATGTCAGGCTGCAAGGAATTGCTGCCCTTCTTTAATTAGACACAAAATACTTCCTGAAAGAAGTAGAATCTCAGATGCTTTTCTTCAGTGTTAGAAATGGTTCTCGATGAGCTGCGAGAAGATGCTACAGACAGTGAGTGAGGTCCAGAAGAATACTGAGGGGGGAATGGACTAATGATCCAGTGAAGAAACTGCCAACTTCTGAGACTCAATCCCTAAGCCAGAGCCCAACAGAGAATGGCAAGGAGTGATCTGACCAGGATAATGGACAGGAAAGGCAACAACAACAAACTTAGGCCTGACAATGAAGGAGCACTACTATGGAGGGGAGAGCAGCTCTTATCCAGAAGAGGCTGAGGGGGCTGAATGACTCTAGCACCTACACAGATGGAGAAAAAGGAGAATTGAGAGAAGTCGTGCAAGAAAAATAAAAAAAATCTGACCGTAGATTGGATGTGCTGAATAAAAAAGTATCTCAAGTAATTAAAGACTGGGAGGATAATGATACAGTGGAACATAAAACCACATTTTTTCCTGTTCCCCATCAAACGATGTACAAGGAGAGTTTATAAATAGCTTTCTCCCTGAAATGCAGGGCAATTTACGAAGGTCTCCTGCCTCTTCCATGCAATAGGGAGGTAAACTATTTTTCAAATTAATAAGGCAGAAAAAGAGATGAGCCCAATAAGTTGACTCGGCCAGCATCCTATTGACTTTAGTTTTCTGTGGTCTGACTTTCCCACTGTTCTAAAGAATAAGACCTCTACCTTGCTTCCTTTCCCACTGAGACAAACCACCCACTCTACCCCAAACACGCTCAGATTTAGCTGAAGCTTGACTGCAGGCCTAACATGAAATTACGCCTTATGACACAACTCCCCCAAAGAGGAAGGAGAAGCATCAGGGCTCTAGAAGGAATTGTGTTTGCTTGCCATTCTTACCGGTAGAGTAGACAGTTTATTGCAGGACAAATCCAGTACAGTGGCCTTTGGGAGGGCAGCCTAGGAAAGAGAATGAGAACGAAATGTCAGACCAACACATGGAATGATTCAGTGACATCTGCTAAGGAAGCATTTTCTAGTTCCCACAATTAGGAAAGGACTTTTTAAAAAAATAGCACTAAAGTGTAATGTTTCTAGGCATAGAAGAAAAAATGAGCCAGTCAGCCACAAGATAGGGAAGAATGCAAAGAGTAGGGGTTTTGCTGTGGAACATCCAATAAAGGAAAACAAATTCTTAGAAATTCTCCCTCGCACTTCTAATATTTTCTCCAGCACTCCTCCTTATTAGGTTTCAAGGCAGGGGCTGTATCTAATATAGCTTTGCGAGTTCCATATTCCCCAGTTCAGGCTTTCCAGGCACTCAATATACATGTTGGCTGATTCATGACTGACTGAATGAATAAATGAGTGAATAACAGAGTGAAAATAAGGCCCTCATGGCCCATTTCCATTTCCACCTGGTGTTCAGGGCTGGAGGCTCAGCAAAACTGACCCTTCTTTCTCTCTAGGGGCAGTGCTGTGCTGACCAGATGCCTGGAGTAAACGGTTTCGGACAACGGTCCTAGAGCTGGGTATAAACAAGGCTGGCCGTCTTTCTGGGATAGAGAAGAAGCCAAAAATTCAGTTAAGGACCCTGGACCAATCTGCACTTGCCAATTATCAGAAAATCCCAAGAATGGAGTTTGAGCACCTAAAAGAGTTATTATAGATATTACAATAGGAAGAACGCCATGAACAGCTAGATGCACCAGCATTTGCTACCTGCCAGATGTTTCGCATTACAACTTTATTAAATCTTCATAACAACCCTATGAGATGGAAACTATTATCATCATTCTATAAATGAAGAACTCTAGAAATAAAGGTTAACTAGCTTCCCAAGGGCACTCAGCTATTAAGCAATGGAGCTGAGATATGAACTGGGAATTTCTTGCTAACCTTCAGACTGCACAGCCAAGGAGGATGGAAGGCTGGGCCAAGTGCCAAAGGCAGTGAGAAAAGTATAAGTCATTCAAGGCAAGGGCAGGGGTGGGGAACCAGGTGGGAAAAACATAGATGTACGATCTTACTGCACCTGTGCAACAACTAGTTATCTTCCAGGGGCCTCAGGCTTCAGTTCCCTGGGTGCCAGTGTGGTAATGTGAGAATACTGGTACTGGCCCCGGCAGTGTGGGATTCCTGCCAGTTTCAGACAAGTAGGCAAGAGGCCTTGCCAACCAAGCAGTGAAACTTCACCTTCTCCAAGGAAGGACACCTCAGGGTTGGGGTGCCCAGCTGGGATTGATGGCTTCCTAGAAAAGCCGGGTTCTGGGCCATACCCAGGCCTACCCTAAGGCCTACTTCACAGACCTACTCATTCATTCGTTTGTTCATTCATTCTCCGAATACATCCAACAACCGTTCCATGGAAGCCTACTTGGGATCAAGCACGGAGCTGAGCGCTGTGAAACGCCCCCAAATGGGGGTAGAGGGAAGATTCACTCTTGACTCCTAAAAAGCCCGTGGCCGGACAAGCAGCTAACCCCATCTTCTGGAATTGCGCCAAAATGACACGTGTACATCCCAGGAAGAACACTGAGGCCGGACGCGGCGTCCCCGGAGACTTAGTCCCACTCTCCCCACCTTATTTTAAGACGTGGAAACTGAGGCATGGGAAAGGAGGCGGTCCACGCAAGAGCTAGCGCCAGCCGCGGGTGGGCGCCTGGGCCTCGCGGGACTGTACTGACCAGCTCCTTGACTGGGACCTCATTCAGGTCGCTGAGGCTCAGGTCCAGCTCGTTGCCGTCCAGCTTGTCGCGGAGGTTCCCGCCCTTGCTACCGGCCTTGGTCATGGTGACGCCGCCTAAGCGGGGCCCGGCTCAGGGACTCCGACCGGCAGGAAGCCTGAGAAGCCGCTCGTCGGCTCAGCGGACTCGCAACCAACCGACAACACCTGCGTCCTCCGCCACCACAGGTGCGAGACCTCTGCCGCCCGCCGTCCACACTCTGATCCCCGCGCCCAGCTCCCACCAGTGCCGCCGCGACGACGACCACTTCCGTGTCCACGTCACCTTCCGCGATCACTGATACAGGCTGGGCCAGAGCGGCCAGAGCGGCCCGAGCATGTGCCGGAGCGCCCTCTGGCACCAAGGATGGCGCACTGCAGTCGCTGCCGCACCGGAGGGGTAAGAGTTCAAGGCTCCGAGTCCCTGGTGACGTTAAGGAGCCCTACCGCGGCCATCGTCTCTGACAGCGCCAGTAGGCGAAAGGGCAGGGGACTGCGAGCCAGAGACCTAAGTTGCATCAAACACTGATCTCATGAGATCACCTCCTGGATTAAGAGAAGAAACTGCGTGACCTTCATAATTGCTCCCTTTTCTCTATTTAACAATCTCCAAGCCAATATCCGGAAAACTTAACCTCTGAATCTTTCTTATCTCCTCCTCGCCGCCCCATCCCTTGTCCAGCCCACCATTTACTCGTACCTGAGATTACTCTGAGTTTCTCTTCCTCCCACCCATCTCTACCCAGCTGCTCAGGTGATCTAAAAATCTAGCCAGGTCTCTCCTCTGCTTAAAACCCTTCAAACTTCCAGCTACCTCTAGGATATGGACCACTCTCCTTTCTAGACCCTTCTGCAGCTTCCTCACAAGTCCCAGTCCCTGCCTGGGATGCCGTGTAGACTTCCAGGTGGCCTCCTCACCTTTCCCTCTCCTGAATGGCCCTGCTTTGCCCACGCTTCTGTTTAGTTAATTCTCAGTCCTTCATGAAATCTTCCCTGACTACAGTGAACCCCAGACTGTTAGGGGTCCCTCCTTGGGGCTCTGACGATCCCCTGTGTCCTGCTTATTATCAGAGGTGGTAAAGCTTGGTGGCTAAGGTGGGGCCTCTGGCACTGGGCCGATTGGGTATTAAACCTGGCTCTGCCTCTTGCTACTTATAAAACCATAAGCAATCACTATGCCGTATCTATGGATTCATGAGAAGTGGGTATAATAATAATGGGGAGGACTGTGTTTTATTTAAACACAGGAAGAACTTGCCACAGTGAATGGCACTTAGTAAGTACCCAGTAAATATTAAGCTATAATTCATAATCTGCCTTGTGTTATACTTATCTTTGTGTCTTCCTTTCACTCTGGACTATGAGGGGCAAGGATTTTATCTTTGTAGCTCCAGTGTCTCAGTGTCTGATACATGGTGGTTGCTCTTTCAAATGTCTGCTGCATGAATGAATAATGCACTTACCCCACTCCAAACCTCACTTAGCTCTTCTTTGAAATGGGGATATTAAGGCTTATCTCAGAGGGGAAATGTGAAGACCGAATGAAATCGGTGCAATAGCCTACTCATTTAGTAACTCTGTGTGCACACTCCTTCTGCTCCCAGCAAGGCATTGTGCTAGGCTTCTGTGGAATAGACAGAGGCAACTGAGTAATAAGACATTAGCACTTGGCAATCTCTAAAGCTCTTGAGCATCTTACTTTGATAAAGTACATGAAGAGACTAGAAGGCATAATTTATTGTGTATCTCTCTTTTATGAAGAAAGAAACTCAAGGAGAAAAACCTTGTCGTCAGTCACATAGCTGGTTGAGGGTCAGACCCAAATCTTTTGATTCCAAATCCTGTTTCTTTTAACTACACAAATAACTATTATAAAACATAGAAAAAATAAGCATCTGAATCCATACAAGTAAAATCTGTGTGTGAATGTACACGGCTGTATGGGTGTATGTCCGAGTGTGATAATCTCAGATTAACGTATGTAGGCACATTTTATGTCCTAGGACTGTGATTTACATATATTATTTCTCTTAACTCACAACAACTGTGTAGGCAGATATTATTTCAGTTTTACAAAGGAAGTAATTGAAATTCAGAGAGGTCATTCATTTAAGAACAGTCATGGCAAGTAAGTGAAAGCATTCCAAGGAAAGTGAGTCATACCTGGCATGGTAGGGAGGAGGAGCCTAGGAAGAAAGAAGAAATCAGGAAAGCCTCCATGGAAGAGGTGGAATGTAAGTTGGGCTTTGAAGAATGGGTTCAATACAGACAGGCAAAGGCACAGCCTTGGAAAGGTGGGCAGTGAAATGAGGGATTAACAGTAGCTGTTCACTTTGAGAAAGATTTTTTAAATCTCTAAGGACGGAAACTCACGGCTTCATGAGAAAGTGAAACCTGTCATCCACTGGCAGCTTTTTCCTTGGGAACAATAGACTGGCCCTGTGCTGCAGCCCCCAAACCAAGTGCCACCTTGTACCTGGATATTGAGGTTGTTTGGGGAGCTAACAAAGAGAACACAAAGTACCACAGCCCTTGAGAAGCCAAAGATCAGGACCAAGATATGATACAACTGCTTCTTGGGAAAACCTTGGGCAAACCTTTATCTTTGTAGCTCTAGTGTGATCGTGGCAAGTCTTCCCACCTCTCCAAACTTCTGTTTCTCCTTCTGCAGAATGGGAATAATAAAATAGGAAAGCGTGTCAAGGACTCACAGAGAAGGAGCCGACTAGCACTACGCAGCATGAGTCAACCTTTCTAATGACGCTGGGCCCTGTTCACAGTTTGTCATTACAGCCAGAAGTGGATTGAAATACAGCCTCAGATAGTCCTTGAAGATTGGAGCCCCCAAAGTACTTTATAATGCAAATGATCTGTTTATATAGTTTACTTGTTTATATGGATTTGCTTTAAATTATTCCGAATGTAGAGAGATATACCATGCTTCTGTAAATCGGCCTGTCTCAAAGTAAACTTCAAATTTAAAGCAACTGCAATTAGAAATCCCAACAAGATTTTTGTTTTGTTTTTGGAACTAGGTAAAAATGATCTTAAAATAAATATATGAGGAAAAAATCTAATTCACTTGAAAGGATAACTGTACAAGAATTGCCAAGAATGAAATTTTTAATAAATTGCCACAGATATCTGCCCAATCAGATATTAGTCCTTATAATAAAACTTAAAACAGTCTAGCATTGTCATAGGCAGGTATCAATGAAACAATATAGTTTGGAAACAGATACAAATATATGTGAGTCATTAATATATAATTGAGATTGCATTTAAAGTCAAATTCATCACAAGGGGTATGGCTGAATAAATTAGAATATGATTAAATTAAGGATATTGAAATGGAGAGATTATCCAGGATTATTCAGGTGGGTCCTAAATGCAATCTTATAAGTTTCCTTATAAGAAAGGCAGAGGGAGATTGGACATAGATGAGGAGAAGGCAATGTGACCATGAAGGCATAGATGAGAGTGCTGTGGCCACAAGCCAAGGAATACTTGGAACTGGAAGAAACAAGGACCGATTCTCCCCAGGAACCTTTAGAAGGAACCAGCCCTGCCAACACTTTAGTCCCATAAGGCTCCTGACTTCTGACCTCCAGAACTGTAAGAGCATAAACTGTTTTAAGCCACTAAATTTGTGTAACTTATTTCAGCAGTAATAGTAAACTATTACACTACTCATTTCTCAGGGCTCAGCTCAGACCTCTAGGAGACCTTCTGTGACATGCTTAGAGTAGGTAGGTGCCTATCCCCTGTGCCCCCTCTCCCACAGCACCGGCCACACCATACTCCATTGTCAGTCTCAGGGTTGGTGTTCTCTATGACCCAATGAGGGCAGACTCCCTGTCTCATTCAAATCTCCATCCTGAGCACCCAGCATTGTGCCTAGTATCAAGTGAGCACTCACTGAATATCTGTTGAACCAATGAATGAGGACAGAGAGATAAATTAGATTTGGTCTAAATTACCAAAACACTGGGTCTTTATCCAAGACTTTACAGTTGACTTTGGCTCTTGACTTTGACTCAAGAAAAGTTAAAAATGACATCATCCAAAGAAGGATTTTTGTTTTACACTCTTTACAAAAGCAAGGCTTTTACAACGTTTGGCAGCTGCTGGGAAGCTTATCTAGTTTTTCGATTTGGAGCTGTCAGCAAGAAAATATTGATTAAGATCACATCTGCCTGTGTCTGCCATCAATTATTAGTTGCGATCGAATAATTTTACTCTACACAGCAGTTCAGAAACAAGTTCCTTTTTTCACTTTCAGTTTGAAAATCAGAAACATTCATTTTTAGAACAACTTTTGTCAGCCTTGGGTTTTTGGGTTTTGTTTTGTTTTTGATGTGGGCTACTGTTTTGTCTTATTTGTCCTTTTTTGTTTCGTTTTAGTATTGGATCTAATTGGCAAAGTATAAACATCATGTTCTAAGTCACTGTCATCTCTTTTTCTAAAAATTAAAATTCCCTTCCTCATCCTCCTCTCCTCTCTTCTTCATATGGCTGCCAGCAGTCTCCTTTTTTCCTACCTCTCCTTCATGACTGCTGCATTTCTTATTAGACAGCCCCCTTCTCAGACATATAATGAAGAACATTCTTTTTTTTTTTTTTTGAGAATTCTTTAAAAGGGACGTTTTTCATATACTACTTGGAAACAATCAGTTACGACAGAGCGTTAAGAAAAATTAAATCAGAGAGAAAATATGTGCTCAAGATCATTGAGAGAAAAAGAAGCAGAGCTTGATTCTTCCCAGACTCTGATTGTCGAAACAATCAGTTACGACAGAGCGTTAAGAAAAATTACATCAGAGAGAAAATATGTGCTCAAGATCATTGAGAGAAAAAGAAGCAGAGCTTGATTCTTCCCAGACTCTGAGACTGTAACCCTTTGCAATCGTTGCTTTACAGTGAAAACCTTACAAAACACACTAGTCCCTGTACTCGATCAACGGTGCTTGTCAGGATGCCTCCCTTGTCCAATTAACAAAAAATTTATTAAGATAAAACATGTACACTGTCCTAGGAAAATAAAACAAGGTAAAGGCTTTCTAACCAAAACTAGTTCTCTGCTCTTCCCCTCCTCCCGGTCCTATGCTTCAAAGAGAACCATGCTTTTTGATTGTGATAAAATAGACATAAATAAAATTTATCATTTTAATAATTTTTAGGTGTACAGTTCAGTGGCAGTAAGTACATTAAGTGCAACCATCCATCTCCAGAACTTTTTCATCTTTCCAAACTAAAACTCCATACACTTAGGTCCCTATTCCCCTAGCCCTTGGCAACCACCTTTCTACTTCCTGTCTCCATGACTTTGACTACTCTATGTGCTTCATATAGTGGAATCATACAATATTTGTCCTTTTGTGTCTGGCTCATTTCACTTTAGCATCATGTCTTCAAGGTTCATCCCTGTTGTAACATGTGTCAGAATCTCCTTCCTTTATAAGACTGAATAATATTCTATTGCATATATATACCACATCTTGTTTATCCACTTATCTGTGGACGAACATCTAGATTGTTTCTGCCTTTTGGCTCTTGTGAATAATAGTGCTATGAACATTGGTGTACAAATGTCTGCCTGAGTCCTTACTTTCAATTCTTTGGTGTACATACCCAGAAGTAGAATTGCTGTATCACATTTCGGAATTCGGTTTTTAATTTTTTAAGGAACTGCCATACCATTTTCCATAGCCACTGCACCATTTTACATTCCTCCCAACAGTGAGCACACAAATGCTCCAATTTCTCCACAACTTCACTAACACTTGTTTGTTTGTTTGTTTGATAGTAGCCGTCCTAACAGGTATGAGGTGGTATCTCACTGTAGTTTGGATGTGCATTTCCCTAATGTTAGTGATGTTGAACATCTTTTCATGTGCTTATTGTCCATTCACATATCTTCTTCAGAAAATGTCTATTCAAGTCCAAAGGGGACAATTTTGAACTATTTTAACCATATCCGTTTTATCTTCTGTTATTTACCTCTAAACGAAATACTTTTTCAGCCATTTTTTTATTTTCTGTTCAATAGGTAAGGATATGCACTCTCATCTCTCTTTCCAAATCCTCTTAAATAGTTTCATTGTTATTTTGTGCATATACTGGTTGTCTTTGTAACTTTAAATAACATACTCCTTTAATTCATGTTCCATCATTGGTAGATGGATTTCTTGACACCTCGATTTACAAGGTAAGGATATTTGCCTTCACTCTCCATCTCCTGTCCCTTACTTCTCAACTACAGCCAGGTGTGATGTCCCAGGTTCGTAGCATTTACTTCTGTCTCCTAACTTCGATGAAGTCTTCTGAACTTTTGTCATAAGCTGATACTAAGAATTTCTAAAAATCAGTAAGTGGTACTTACAGTTTGAGCACATTTTTGAAGCACAGATAGGAAGGATATTGGTGAAGGGGAAGGACTAAGGGCTTTCCCTAGGTAGCCAATGGCATGAGCAAAATCACAGGGCCCGTGAACCATGAGAGTCATGTGCAGCACAAAACAGATGTGTTTGAGTGCAGTTCAGGCAGAAACCTCTTGGAGAAACTATGAGGAACTGAGTTGAAGAAAAAGGAAGGAAAGTTAAACAGCCTGGATGGCCCATGTGCCCTGTTCCCCACTCCTTCAAAGTGACCCAAGAATTCCGGTCAATACGATCTGATACCCAGATTCAAGGACTTCCACATCAGGTATCTTCACTATTTTTTCTCCCAATCCTTCTCCCTCTCCATGGAACCATGCCTACCTACCAGGACTCTCAAGGCTTTGCAGAGTGAAAAATATTTCCTCTTCCTAAAAATGGTTTGCAATACCTAACACAGAGGAAGGTCTCAGAGTGTAGACGCAGGAGGAAGGAGAGGATGGAGAAAGAAACTAACAATCACCAAAAAATGATCGAATACCAGTACTGTGCCACAGTACTCAATTCTTACCCCACTCCTCTGCATGAGGCTGGTACTATTACCCCCATCTTAAAGAAAGAAGACAACTAAAGCTGGAGAGGCTCTAAGACTTATCCAAAGCCACAAAGCGAGTATAGGCAGACACCTGGCCTGTGCTCACTGTGCCCTCCTTGGCCTTGGACAAGTAGCTGAACCTCTCCGGGTCTCAGTGTCTTCATACATAAAAACAGAGACACATTCCAAGGCATGACCGTTCCTTGCAGAGTAATTGTGGGGGTCAGAGATAATATCCTTTAAGAGTCAGGCTTGCGGGAGGTATCCTGAAACTGACAGCTATGATTCCATTGCACCTATGTTTGGTAAGGCAGGGTAATCCACTATGTGGAGGGCCAAGGCTTGAGCGAAGTTCAAGCAGGAATTAATCCTTCTCTTCCCCTAAAACTGACTCTCAAACTAGTAAAGAAAGTGAAAGAGTCTGCCAGACCAGTATCCACCCCTCACTTCACAGGCCCAGAAAGGGGTCACCAGACTTGAGGTACTCGCCAGTGCCCCACATTCTTGGCTGGGCTATCAGAGTCAGTGAGTTGGTCTCACCAGGAAGGCATGACCTCGCAAGCCTGGCTCCTCATAATCTCTCTGCTCCTCTGTCTTCCTTCCTGCTCCATCCCCACACAATCTGAAGTGTGGAGACCTTCCCTACAAGCCAGGGTTTCAGGGGGATCTGAGATTGCTCTCTCGCTCTCGGCATCATCAAGAGGAGCTGCATAGTCTCCTTCTCCTGACTTTAGTTGAGCCAAAGTTCCCAGATAAGGGCGAAGGCCTTGTCAGGCCGGACCCCACCCTTAGCTGCCTCTTCTCTCTGGCCCAGCTTTTGTCACTGCCTCTAAGCCATGAGAGAGCAGGTTACCCTGCCAGGGCCTTTCTCTCATTGCTCTCCCCCTCTTTCTCTGGAGGAAGGGTCAAGGCTGGAGACAGACAGTGTGGACCTGGCACACGTGCCACTCTTGCGCCTATTGCCACCTTTTCCAGCCAGGACCAGAAATGAGCAATGTCACCCTCTCTCCCTCCTGCAGCTGTACCTGGGGTTCCGGTGACCATAAAGAGGAGCTAGAGAGAGAGTGAGATTGCTTTCCATATACACCTGGGGCAGCTCACGGAAACTGTGCTAGGGCAGGCAAATAAGGGACGGTGACACCCATGTTCAATCCTTGAGGCCACCTCACTGCACCGGCAGGTGAAAGCAGAGGCCTAGGGGGAGCCATGGGAAGCTGCCGCTTGGAAGATGGGGGTACGAACTGGTCTCTCTTCTGAAGCTGACATCTGGCTTCAGCTGGGACTCTCTCACCGGTGGCACCCTTCGTCCCAGTGGCCTCCCCGCACCCTAGCAGGACCTATGCCCCAGCTGGCTTGCCTTGGGGGCACTTTGTATCGGCTCCCTGATCTCTGCCTCACAACCCTGCGGGGGTGGGGAGGGGAAAGGGACGGCACATGACGCGCGTCCAGGAATGGAGGCTTCTGGGCTTCGCCATCCGCACCGCATTCACGTACTACTGGCTTCCTTCTACGAAATCAACAAGCTCTTGCGCCTCAAAACCTAGGGGTCTGGTGGTTGGGACTGGAGATCTGCCAAGGGAGACGTGCAGCCGAGGACTTCAGATCCAGCGGGAAACCAGGGCAATTCTTCGAGGGTGGAAGGGGGCGGGCCGCGGGTAGCAGAGGAGGGTGGCCGCGCGCAGAGTGGCCTGACCCTACCCCGCCCCGCCCCAATTGTCTGAGTCGGTCTCACGCCACAGGCAGAGGCGAGCTTTACCTCCTCCCCGCTAGCTTCGCGCTCGCCCCGCTTCGATTCACTTTAAAAGTTTCCTCCGACCAGGACACCTGCGTGGCGAGCCATTGCTGTCTGCATCGGGATGCTGCGTCTCTGGAGGCTGTTCGCCGAGAGTCTGGGAATGCTAGGAGTCCCCTCCGTCCTCTCTCGGGGTTGTCGGGAAGTGAGGTTGCAGGGTGTCCGTCCCCTCAGGTACGGGGACTGGGGAAGGGGCGGGCGCGAGGGTCCTGCAGAGCTTCCCTGGCGGCTGATCCCACTGCGGCTGGGAGGCCCGCAACTGCTGCACCTCGGGGTAGTAGGTACCCTGCACTTAGCACTTAGGCAACAGGAAATACTGGCTTAGCCGGCTCAGAATGGGACTTGGCTGGTGGCTGGCAGTGACCCCGCACTGACTCCAGGTTCTGGTCCAGGACTCTATAGATTCTTATATTCATGTGCACGCAGAGGACCAGCATTGGGGGCCTTTAGCAATCTAGCCCCAGAGAGAGGGGCAGGAGCAAGGTCTGGACTCTGTCCCCAGAACACTGCCTCTGAGCTGCACGCTCTTCAGGGAAAAACTTGGGGGATTTTCAGCCCCATCTTGCCCACCCCAGGCTACTAAACTCCGCAGTCTCTCCTCTCCTCATTAGCTACTGACAAACACTGCTTTTGCTCCTTGTATCTACTGGGCCTGTTTCCTTCTGTCCCCAGTGCAAAGGATGGAGTGGGGGCCGGCAGGTGAAGGCTGAACACCTCCAGTTGCTTTGCTCTCTCCATAGCTGTACAACGCTGTTGTTATCAGTGTTGTTGTGGTGGTTATCTTCAGCAAGCAGCAGGGCAGAGGCCTGGGCACCACTGAGCCTGTCCTGCCACCAGCCGGGCTGGATATTAAGTCTGGGGTAGGACCTGGTTTTGGATACCAGATGGGATGTGGGCCTGGACGTGGAAAAGGGTGGAGGAGCCCAAAGAAGCATCTCCTATGAGAAAACTGTTTGGTTAAAAAATTTTTTTGGATGATGAGAGTTAGAAGAAGATGCAAACTCCTCTTTTGGCTGGAACTCCAAGATCACAATGTTTTGAATTTGCTTTAAGATTATCATACCTAATTTTCTGAGGAAACCCACTGGCTCAAGACTGGTCGGATGGGATTCTGGTGAAAAGAGCTGGGTTCTCTACTAGCTGTGTCCTTCACTACCTCCCGGTGCTCCCTAGGCAAGTTCTACCATCACTATCCCCTGGCCTCCAAGCCCCACCTCTGGGCTCCTGGGTGCCCTCTTAGACTGTGAGGCTTCTAAGGAAAGTTATCCCCCCAAAAATGTACATGTTTTATCATACTAAATCAAGCCACCTCTGGCCACATGGCAACAATCCTGACTTTTGAACTTTTTTGTATGTAAACAAAACAGGTCACCCTCCTGCTACAGGTCTGTGACCTCAGAGAAGGGCCACCAGGCCTCCGAAAACTCTGTGTCCCGAAAAGATCTATTTTTCCAGAGAGAGAAGATTTCCTGAGCATCTGTCCTAATTCCCTCCCATCCCTTCCACTCCAACTTTCCCTTTCAGAAACCCTCAGAGTTTCAAGCATTGAACAGACATTTCTGAGAAGGTCATGTCAAGCACCTGGTGGGTGCTGTGACTATGGAAGCCGTAGGATCTTGTCCTCCAGAAGTTTGCAATCTAGTGGGCAAAATATAAATCAAGATGATCGTGACTCTGTGTTCCAAGTCAAATGTGCGCAATGTTCTTGAACTTTTGTTCTTTCCTCTTTCCGATCTGATCCCATACGGCCTGCTTTCTTGATGCCTAACATTCCAAGCCTATTAACTATTTAGGAAGCTTTGAGTTACAGCCCTGAACTCCACCTACTCGCTGCATGACCTTAGGTACATTACCTAACCTCTGAGTCTGGTGACATTGTCACTAAGGTACATATTTGTTGGATTGCTGAAGCCTTGCTCTTCTCAGACTTTCCTTTGGGGCAGAGCTGGTTTTCGAGAACCTTCAAATGGTGTCTGGGAATTCCAACTGATTTGAAAGTAGGAGAGGATCTCCACTCAGTGGCCTTTTTCTTGCACCCGAGTCTCTCTCCTGGCCAGTCCTTGGATCTGCTGGACACTCCCTTCTCCATCAAAGTTGGGGCTGTCCAGAGCCTTTTTTTCCCCAGAAGAAAATAAGAAACTGTCAATTGCTCTCCAGATCTCCCGAACCACCAACTTCTTCCCCTTGTCCACATATTTCCTTCCCCAAGGAAGACAGATGGGCTAGTCTGGGACTTTAGGAAGCCTTGGAGGGAGAAATCTAACACTTTTTCCTTGATGAACCTGAGATGCCCAGGCTTCCCCCAGATCTCTAAGGCTTACCTGTGATGTTGTCACATCCATCTGGGGTGTTGTAGTCAGTGAATCATACACATTGGTTTTAGTTACCCTTTCCTGCCTTGCAGGAAGTAGGTATACAATCTACTGTGGAGGGTGCAGTGGAGAATACAAAGATGAATAAATCTGTTTTCACTGAGTTCTTTGCCTAAAAGGAATCTGCAGATGAAGACTATAGACCCACTGATTCAAAGCAGAAAGGGTGCTCCCCCTTAAAGGATGTTAATCAAAGCAGGAGAGAATCTAATTGCTGGAAATGAGATTAGGGAAGGCTTCCTAAAGAGGCCAGAACCCTTCGGCCATAGGACTGTATTGTAGTTTGAAGTATGACGCCTATAGACTTATATGAAATCTTGCTTGTGCTTGAACTCTTTTGAATCCTGGATATGGAGCCCTCCTAATCTCCCCAACATTATTTATTCAAGCTACAGACAGAAACTTTAGAGTCTACCAGATCTGGATTCAAAGGAACCACTTTCTACCTGTTAGCTCTGGGGCCGAAGTTGAACTTGACTTTTTTCATGTGTAGTGTTGTTGTGAGGGTTAAATGAAGTTACATAAGAAAATTCTTAAACCACAGCCTGGCACCAAGGAAATCTTCGCCAAGCAGTAATAAGCTTTTATACAGGTAGTGCTTGTGTAATAATGATTTTGTATGTTCTTTCAACTCCAACAAAACCACATTTTAATATTTTCGTGTGGAGAGGAAGAAGGAAGCAGTTCTGGCAGGGCAACTGCCTAAACCAAGGCAGGGCTGCTTGAGATGTATTGACAGGTCTGTGCTTATGCTAAGTGTTTGGATTAAGGACTGCTTTTTTTTTTTTTTTTTTCCCTGATAACATGCTGAACAAACCAAAATACAGGATGTTTTTTATCCTGACTGGACTTTGCTAGGGGAGTATAGTGCTAATATGTAACAAGTACCAGCAACCTTGCCAGGTTTGCCTTCCTTCAGAAATAAAACAAATTGTGTTTCTAGCTGACAAAACATGTTTTTTGAACCTTGTAGATATGCTTGTATTTCTCAATTTCAGTGTCAGATGACAGGAAAGCAAATCCTCGCCCACTCACTTCTAACTCAGTATAGCTTTAAGGAAATCACTCAACTTCTCTAGACCTTGGTTTCTTTGTAAAATAGGCCATTTGGAAAAGAAGCACTCTACATTTCTGCAGATATTCTGTGATTCCTAAGGTGGCTGGTGTTTGAACCTGATTCCTGAATCCAAGAGGGCTATGGTCGAAGTATGAAGTATTCATACTTACATGAAATGTTACTATGTGATTCTCTGTAGTCCTAGGTGAGTGCATACAAAACATCAAGGGTTTTGACCCTAGAAAGCTAAGATCCAGACCTATAGGTACCTTAGTGATCCCGTCAAGGGTTGCGTATCCTGAATCAGCCCCCCACCCCTACCCCGACTCCTGTGTGCTTTCTCTGGGGGCCCCATACAAGTAGCCCAAGGGAAAATCTGAAGCATGGATGCCTCCCCACCATGAGTAGTTCAGGCATTCAAAAATGTTCTCTGTCTTCTTGAGTTTCCTGGACTCAGTAAGTTCCTGCATACTTTCTCTACATAAGCATAAACACAGATATACCAGTGGTTTTATTCAAGATGCTAAAAAATGAAAGTTTCCACCAAATGTAGAGTACCCTGCTCAAATCTTATTGTGACTCTTACCACTTGGGAGTTCTTTGTAGTCTCTGTCCTTTGCAAGCTGTAGTCTCATTCAGGAAGGATATGTTAGGTGGTGAAAAGATCATGGGGCTTTATGGTATAACTATATACAGTAAAATGCCCAAATCTTAAGTGTACAGTTCAATGAATTTTAACAAATGTACATACCCATTACTCAGCATCCAAGGATATGGAACTTGTCCATCACTCTAAAACAGAGTAGAAATATATTGTGAGTCACATATGTAATTTTAAAATTTCTAGCAGCCGTATTTAAAAAGAAATAAGAAATAGGCGACATTAATTTTTAAAATTTTAAAATTTTATTTATGTTTATTTTCCAATTACAGTTGACATTCAATATTATATTTATTTCGGGTATACAGCATAGTGGTTAGACATTTATATACTTCATGAAGCGATTCCCTTGATGTGACATTAATTTTAATGTTATATTTTCTTTAACTTAATATAGTCAAAATAGCATTTCAGCACGTATTCAGTCTTTTAGAAATTGCTAATGAGATATTTTACACTTTTTTTTTCATATAATCTTCCAAATCTGGTATGTATCTGACACTAACAGAACATTTTGAGTCAGACTGGCCACATTACAAGTGTTCCACAGCTGCATGTAATTAACAGCTATACCGTATAGACAACACAGTTCTAGAAATTTCTCTCATGCCCCTTTCCAGTCAATTCCCTTTCCCAACCAGAGGCTACCACTGTTCTGATTTCTAATCTCCTAGATCAATTTTACCTGTTCTTGAGTCTCTGTGCCGGGCTTCTTTTGTTCAAAAACCAAGGGACACTTTTGAGAGGAGCGACGCATTAACTTTGACAAAAAAAAAATTATACATAAAACAGTTTAGCTTTCCTTGATAACCGTGGGCAAAGGACACTGTCTCACCTGCGCAATATTTCACCTCTGTGGCAGCAAAAAGGCAAGCTGAGAAGTGGGGGCCCCAGAATAGGTCTTTTTTTTTTTCTAGAGTAGGTCTTATAAAAGTGTCAAGGGGCTGTCCCAGCAGAGAATGGTGAGGACAGTGTAACTTCCAGGCCCATTAAACTGGGCGGCCTGGTTTTACCTTGTGGTCTCTATATTATATAATTTAAGAACTTTTAAAATTAAACTTTTATTTTGAGATACCAACATTTA